GTGTGTCAAGAAAATCACTCCAATTTTCAAAATCATATTTATCAGATCGTTACCAAATGGTCAAAATTGGAAAAACATTTTCTGAGAAGTACAAGGCTACATCGGGGGTACCTCAGGGTAGTATTCTTGGGCCGTTGCTTTTTACTTTTTTTATTAATACCCTGCCCAATTCCTTGAAGCAATCAGTGGGCGTGGGCCTACTATTTGCAGATGACTTCAAGTTATTCAGAGTGGTCTCTGAAACTGAAGATTATTATCGGTTCCAGGATGATATGGATTGTGTGAGTGAATGGTTTAAGAAGAAGAAAATGAAATTGAACATTAAAAAGTGTTCTTTAATGTCTATTGCCAGAAAATCCAACTATATTAAGTTTAATTATAGTGTAAATGGTAGGCTTTTGGATCGAATAAGTGAGGTGAAGGACTTAGGTGTATTTTTCAGTCTAATTTTAAATTTAACAATCATTATATATGAAAAGCAAATAAGGCATACAAGTGCCTTGGCTTCATCTTAAGAAATGGTAAATATCTGTTCGCTATATTTTCTCTTCTATAGGTTCCACCATCCAGGGACGCCGGGTTTCAGAAAACCTCGTGGGTGCTGATGTTCATGCACCGGCATTTATGAGGGGGGGTGAACAGCCTGCCGGTGGCGAAAAAACTTGTCCAGAAGCCACGCCCAAAAACGTTTACCAGCATTCTTTAATTTACATTCGGACGAGTGTCTAAGAAGGGAATGGTAATACATTTAAAACAACGTAATTCACACCTTTCCATATTCGTTTTCCAGCTGCGGGAATTAGTATTGCTTGGTGCTTATGTAAGTTTTTTGCGGTCTCTGCTAAAATTGGAAAAAAAGGACGGCTATAAGGGTAAAGAGTAGAGTGTTTTCACAGCTATCAGAACAATACCTACTTTCTACCACGTAAAAGCCCCCCTCCAGCATAGCCATCATAGCCCATCATTAATCTATTTTCAAAAGGCGCCGCCGATCTAGAGATTTTCCCACGGTATCGAAAAACTTTCTAGGCTCAAGTTCCCCCAGCTATCAGACTAGCAGATTCACAAGCAAAATATTTATTATCGCAATAAAATTATTGCACCTGTTTATGACCAATACCCACCTCACAGCTATCAGAGCAATACCCACCTCCACTACGTCAAAAAGCTTCTACTCTAAAGAGGTACCCATAGGCGCTGAAATTTCAAAATTACTATGGGGGCTCGGGCTCCAAAAATTAATATAAGTAGAATCAATTAGATAGATAGGACTTAGGCTACTAGACACATAGACTTCAATGGGACCAGTTGGAAGATACACATTTCACTGCAGGATCGCTACGCTGGATCATTGATCGTCCCTGCATATGATTAAAAATCTTGCATCTTCGGCAGCTCGGCTATACTTAGCTTTAGCAGTACCATTGGCGTAGCCAGGATTTTGCCTTGGGGCGAGGGAAAATTTGCAGGAAGTGATCCTTACAGCAGTTGCAGCTCCGCCGCAAGCGCTGCAGGAGGGAAAGCGCTGCAGGCGCGAAATTTTTGGGTCGTTTCTCGGTATTTTTGGGACTTCTCATGGCGGGGATGCGGCCATTTAAACAAATTTCGATAAGAATTTATAGTAGAGCTTTACTTATATTATAATGTATGTATTTGAATATTTACACAGGACTTGATTTGATTCTTTTTTTATTTTAATTTGGAATTAATAATAAAATTTAAAGGCCTTCGGGGAAAGGGGGCAAATACCACTTTGTCCCCTTTTTTGGCTACGCCAGTCACCAGTGGGCAGCACCGGTGCGATTCGCCTTAACCGAGTAGGTACAAGCTAATTCGTCTTATTACTCCCTATGTGTCTAGTAGGTTTCAAAGTCTGTTAATAAATTGTCCATGTTAAACTAGGTAAAAAAAGCCAGTGTATTGGTACACAACAAAATATTCAAAGTGTTTGTTGAAGTAGGTATAGCAAAAACAACAAAAACACACAAGCTTGATATAAAAATGAATAGTTAGGAACAGGAACTCAATATTTCTTTGCCTACCCATTACATCCACTACATACAATACCAAAATCACTATGGGGGCTCGGCCCCCATAGGAAATTCACTATGGGGGCTTAAACCCCCATTGCCCCCATGGTTCCGGCGCCTATGGAGGTACCTCTTTCCATATCCCTTCACATTCTTGAAAACTAAAGAATATTTCAACTATTCCTGCATTTGTATTCGTCAATATTGTTGTTGTTTTATTGCAATAATAACATTTTGCTTGTGAATCTGGTGGACCACTTACGTAGTAGAGGTGGGTATTGGTCTGATAGCCGGGGGCACTTGAGCCTGGGAAGTTTTTCGATGCCGTGGAAAAATCTCTAGATCGGCAGCGCTTTTGATCTGAAATTTTGGGGATTTGACCCGGGCCAACTCCAAAATTGACGAATTCTAATACAAATGGAAAAATTGGTTAAATATTCTTTAGTTTTCAAGAAAGTGAAAGGACATAATAAAGTGCCATCTCAGGGTAAGAGCCTTTTGAAAATAGATTAATGGAGGACTTTACGGAAGAGGGTTCACAGTGCAGGTGGGTAAAAAGTGCCTCCTCAGGGTAGGAGCTTCACGGAAGGGGGTACAGTGAAGGTGGGTAAAGTCCGCCTTATGAGTCTAGCACTACGACGTCTGAAGAGCAAGGGGACATAACGCCATTCATTTCGAGCTTTATGCTGCCTGTCATAGACGAGCGTGCAACGTTTTTGAATATTACTTTTTCCTTATACATGTAGGTGTATAATATAAATTAATATTAAGGTATTTCTTATTGGAAGTCAAATAGGCAATATTGCAATTTTTTTATCCGCACTCTTTCCATAGTGCTAGACTCGTAAGGCGAACTTTAGTGGTATGATGGCTGTGCTGGAGGGGAGTTTTTACATGGTAGAGGTGGGTATTGGTCGGATAGCTGTGAAAACACTCTACTGTAAAGTGTGGAAAACTCTCCTGCAGATATTCTTTTCCAAGCAGCATGTACCGAAAATCTGCGTTTTACGCTGTTCTTCAAAAAAGATTTCTGATTTTCTTCATCTTCTTCTTCTTCTAAACAAAGTACCACCATGTTCTGATATCAACTGCCAGTACTGGATTCACTGTGCTGATTTTACTCACTCATTTGCCGTTCCAATTTCAACAGGGTAGGTACTCTTGTGGTCATTCAGTACTGAATCGACTGAATCCAGTGTACCTACTGAAAATAATATCGAAATGGCGTCCAGTAAATTCAGTACTGACAGAGTTAATATCGGAACATAACCTATATAAGGCTATGGTCCAAATATAACCAAACGTTATCCATTAGCTCTGTTCCAACAGACATGAGAACCGTTCCAGTACCAATAATTCCTAGTTGCCCACCTATTTTTCAATAAGTTGAACGTTTTTCCTAATTGACAAATGGATTGATCGACTGGAAATTACCGTTCTAGAAAGGTTTTCATGTCTGCTGGAACAGAGCTAAAGTAACCGAATCGGTCAACAGATGTTTACTGAAAATTCCGGTTACTTTGGGGAACGCAAATATGGAAATTGACAGAAGTTACAGATAAAACCTTGATAAAACCAACAGAACCGACATCCGATGGCCAGTAACTATTTTGACATTTGGTTAACCAGATTTTAGGAACCCGAGGTACAAAATTAACCAGTTTTCCAGGAACTAGAGAGAGGATTATCAGTTTTTGAGTCTATGCTCGTGGGAAGCACCCACTGTTCAGGTCTCGTGGGTGCTCGAGCTCCCGAGCACCTACGTAGTCGGCGCCCCTGCCACCATCTATGTAATTAAGTCCTAAGTTTTAATATAACAATACTTTATACTGTTAGGGTTCAAAGACGATGCCGGCTAGAATTATTATATAACCAATGTCCTGTTCACATCATTTTCTCGAAATTCGGTAATTCTATTGCAGAAACCCCAATTGTTGTAAATATAAAAACTAAGTCAAACACAGCCCATGGGAAGTACTCTTGCCGCCAAAGATATAGTACCTTCCCAGGCCTTTTTTATAATACAGATGGCGAGAATTACAACTACTAGGTTAATTTTAGGTTTATGATTGTACAAACATTTCGTAACATTTTAGCACCTAAATAAAATATGTATAAGTTAATTTCAGGAAATTGAAAAATACCCTTTTTTAGGGAGGTCCAAACTTGCCTTCCTTGGTGGAAGATAGTTGAAGGCAAGGTATTCAGATTTCGAGCTTCACTCTGAACAGTCGGGTTGCCTCTCAACATTCTTAACTAAGTATCTCTCCCTCAACGATAATTTTAATAAATGAAACATTTTTATACAATACCGAGTTTTAATTATCGAAGTACGAGATTGGAGCGAGCGGAAAAGTCCCGATTTTCAAACAGCGACGTTGACCTAAGCGACAGAGAAGATCCAACATACGTACAAAGCTGTGAAGTTCCTCGATGCAAGCAAGAAGTTTGGAGTTCTTATCTCCGGTCCTTATTGGTATCAAACTTTGCCCTGGGGTATTAACACCTTCATAATTCCCTTGATACATAAATAACTATTAGTTTCTTCACAAAAGACCCTATCTCACAAAAACCTTCATTATAACCAAATGTTAATTAATATCTTGAAATGTATTTGATGAGAAACTTACATTATTTGTTATTCATAATTCCAATAAAAAAGTCCGAAAATCGGTATAGTTCTTTGTATTCTGTTGGTGTAATGCGTAAAGATGTTAGTATTTTTTTAATTGCTGTCCTGAAAACTTGCGAAAAACGAGATAGGGCCTTGTGTCATGAAACCGACGAATTTCTGTATGACCGCTATATAATAAAACAAAGTTTTCATGTACTGTACAATATACCTACGCTGTATTCAGTCAATAATAATTTACCTCCTTAACCAATTATCTATATGTTATAGGTATAAATTGAAAAAGTAGTCCATCTCCCAAAGTGGAGTTGAAATTTAATTCCAAAAGAAAAACTCAGTCTTCCTCCAAAAATACTTTAATAAATTGGGACAATATTATATATATTCATTATTTATACCAAGAAGTAAACCTATCAGCAGCTCGTTGCCAGTTTTCCAAATTGTCTCGTAATTCCTTAGCCAAAGTTTGATTTTCTGTTGGCTTGAAAACATCTTCCACCCTATCGATCTTCAAAATGTCTTCTTTGGACTTCCAAAAACCTTCATCAAATAAATTCCAATCAAAATTAATAAATTAATGTATTTTCCGATTTTTTTTTAATACCCACCGCACGATTGACCGGCAAAATACGCCACACCAAGAGTGGCCATTTCAAATTTTGACCGTTTTACGTTTAGGTTAGTCAAATTTGCTAATAATTGGCAAATGAAGTCGTTTTTAGAGACTCCACCATCAGCTCTACAATTAAAAAAAAGTAGGTAACTAATTATTTTTTCCGAGAAAATTATTACAGTGTAACGTCAAATCAACTTATACTGACAATAAATAGTAGTTTTCCTAATCAGTGCGCAAAGTTATGTTTTCCCGCACGCAAAAACAGTTAGATAAGGGGTATTCAATACTTTAGATACAGTAGACCGCCGTCCGGCGGCATTTATCAATACACTAATAGCATGCCGCCCTTATCAACAAATCAGTTTAGATTTTCGGCAGCTTTCTTATATGTGAGAAGACCTTGCCGCCGGAAGACGGTTTTCTTTTCCACAAATAGGTACAATCACCGCCGGCGGTCGGTTAGCCAGTGTTTGAAAAAAGGATAAGCTCTAAGTGCGGGAAAATTACTTTGCGCACGTGTTAGGAACAATATTTTGTCGAGTGAAACAACTATACTGCTTTTTTAAATTTTTAATTTTTATAGGCAAAAAAATTTTTTTTCGGCCTTCTCTCCGCGGGACTTCGCCCTCTCAAAAAGGGGGCTCCATGGGGCTGGGCCCTCCAAATATAGGGCTGTCGCGGGGCTTCGCCCCCTAAAAAGGATTTTATTATGGGTACCAGAAAAAAAAAGTGTGCGCAAAGTAGTTACTTTGCGCATAGTGTGCGGGAAAAAAATTTTCTTTTCCCGCACCCTTTTGGGGAAGGGTTTCTTTGCGTACGCAAAAGTGTGCGCAAAGTAACTGTGCGCAAACTAGTTACTTTGCGCACATTCGTAGAAAAAATACTTTACCTAAAGAAGTTTTTTTGATGGAATTTTTGTATACCGAAAAGGGTACTTGCATGGAAAATTAAATTGATTATTGTTTATTGCAAACTGTAGGAAATCGAAAAGAAATCGTTAATTTTTTTAAATTTCGCCCAAATATGATTATTCCGGAAGTTATACAAATATTAAGTTTTGTATATATAGATATACTGAGCATGTGCAACGTCACTAATTTATATGATAAGTGACGTCATAGGCATATTTCATAGTGTTGTATCTCCGTCAATTTTTGACTAAGAAGAAATAGTATATTGTTCTATTAGGAGTAGAAGCTTTACTTTTTTGTGCTGAAGCAGTAGGTTTGCGAACCGAACGTAGTGAGGCTTGCAATGCTGCTGAAGCACAAAAAAGTGCTTCTACTCCGTATGCAACACGCTATTTTTTCTCCAAGCGAATGGAGTAAGCTCGGTGGTAACTGGATGGTTAAGCGACAGTAAAAGTACGAGCGGCACTAAAAGTACTTTTGCTGCCGCTCCTACTGCCGGTGCGGTTACCTAGCAGCATAGAAATTAAATCTCTACCACCTCGACAGGTGCTAACCTGCTGGATTTGCCTAGCAGCATAGAAATTAAGTTTCTGACACCTTGACAGGTGCTAACAAAGTGACGTTTTTTTGACGTTTGGAGAAAATAGTATATTGTTGTATTAGGAGTAGAAGCTTTACTTTTTTGTGCTGAAGCAGTAGGTTTGCGAGCCGAACGTAGTGAGGCTTGCAATGCTGCTGAAGCACAAAAAAGTGCTTCTACTCCGTATGCAACACGCTATTTTTTCTCCAAGCGAATGGGGTAAGCTCGGGGTAACTGGATGGTTAAGCGACAGTAAAAGTACGAGCGGCACTAAAAGTACTTTTGCTGCTGCTGGGGTTGCCAAGCAGCATAGAAATTAAATTTCTACCACCTCGACAGGTGTTAATCTGCTCGATTTGCCTACCAGCATAGAAATTAAATTTCTGACATCTTGACAAGGGTTAACAAAGTGACTTTTTTTGACGTTTGGAGAAAAAAGAATTAACCTGGATTTTGATCATGTAAAATGTCATTCTAATGACATTTTCATTTTTTGAAAGCAAAACTGAGCATAAGATTGGTGAAAATAATCACATTAGTAGGTACTTTATTAATGTATTTAACACTGGAGAATAGGAATTTTTAACTTCTTATAGTGGAGGGTCAAACTATATACTTTTAGAGAAAAATAGAGGTATCCATCGAAAAGGAGTGTAGTGGTTTAAGAGATGGTTTTACCCTCGGTAGGTACATCAGAAAATTCCTGCAACTGACGTATTTTGCAACATATTATTAAAAAAATTAAATAAAGCCCATTTAGAACTATACAATAAATACACCGTTGTCAAGTGCTGTGAGTTTTCGGAAATGCAAAGAAAAATAACCATACTTGATATACATCAACGACGTAGTAGGGCATTCGCTATTCAATAAATCATAAGCCATAGCAATCTTATACGCTATACTTTCCAATACTGCTCTAATCATATGGGCCTTATTTGTAGTGGGTTTGATTCCAATAAATCCAGTGGCCGCAGATTCGTTATTTATTGGTGGCTAAAAAAATTAAGGATATTTGACAGTACATAACTATTGATTTCCAACTTACTCCTAATCCACTGAAAGCTGGTATAAAATATACACCTCCATTATCTTTCACGCTATTGGCTATGTAGCTAGATTCTTCAGAATTTGAAATTAGGCCTGAAATTAACACGTAAAAAAAGTCGATAATACAGGGCGTCACAATCATATTTTGCATCTCTATAACTTGAGAAAATAGTAAAATCTGTTTGTACGAACTTGAAAAGCATTGACATTGTTGTCCATTAATGTTAGTTTTAAATTTTTCAATCAATCTTATACATATTCAACTCGACGTTCGACGTGTCACATAATACCTATAGTATTTTTAATACCTATTTAGAATAATTTCATCCTTATTTATCAATCTCGAATCAGATGAAACAAAAAATTACCAACAAAAACGAACGTCGATTGCTAATACGTCAATTTCATGTACAAATAGGAAATTTCTAACCTAATTTTATTTGTGTGTTCAAGAAGCGACATACGTTTAGTCACTAGAACAGCTAGTACTTCTAAATGGGTATTAAAAATTCTATACATGTGATTTGTTTATATTTAAAGAAAAATATTTATAGTAGGTATGTATATTATACCTATCGCTAACATCCATTGCATTAAAGACCCAGCATCCGAACAAGCAACTTCAGCCAAATAAACCACCTCATTTTCATTTTTCCACCCAACTAATGGGTACATTCCATGAGATACTCCTTGGATACGTTCAGCTGTATTTAGGTTTAAAAACGCCCCCGTTCCTAGAGTTACTTTTATGTCGTTTTTGTTGAAGCAACATGAACCGTACATTGAGGCTGATTGGTCAGACATAACAGCTCCAATTTTTATGCCTTCCCCAAAAATGTCTTTTGTAACTTCTCCAAAATCATAACTATTATCTACAACCATCGGGAAAATATCTATAGGAATCTTAAAGATTTTCGGAAGGAAGCTCCAGCATAAACTAAAAGGATCAAACATCCCCGTGGCGCTGGCATTTGAAATATCAGTTACATAAAATTTGCCTTTAGTTAGCTTATAAATCAGCCATGTGTCGAGAGTGCCGAACATTAAGTTCTGTTCTTGGAGGGCCTTCTGGACTTCTGGGTGGTTTTGAAGAAACCATAAAAGACGGATTGTGACCTGAAAACAAATTTCTCAAATAGCTTTTAATTGAATTTTGTTGTGCAAAATCCTTACGTGACTGCTAGCAAATTTCAAATGGCTTAAAACAGCTAATTTGGTTATTCGGGTCAGAAAGTGTAGCAGAAAAGAGCCAGTACGTAGTGCCATCATTTTCCATGATCCATTTATTTGTTTTATAAGTTCAGCTGCCCTAAGATCTTTCCATGTTATGAAATTATGTAAGGGTACGCCAGTATCTTTTCGCCATGTTATAAAGGTGCCTCGTTGGGTTGAGATTGCTAGAGAATTGACTTGTTTTATACTTAAATCGCCATCTAAAAATTTAAAAAAAACTTTGGATATTTTTGTAGGTCAAGAATATGTGTTGGATGAGGATATGATCTCTATTAAGAGGAAGCAACAAGAATTCGCCAATTTATTGATCATTTCAAGTTCTTGTCTTGAAATAGGCAAGATCACACGAATACTAGATGACCACCTTGCTTATGATTCAAGATAAGACAAGAAATTCTGAGAAAGTTCCAAGAATTCTTGACAATGATACCTACTTGAAATATTATTTCATTATCATAGCCACCTTTTTTTTTCCTATGAGATGGCGATGACAAATTTTAAATCCGACATTTCGTTTTATGACAATCATCATAAAGTTAATTTTTTTTTAATACGGACCTGGATTTTTTTAGTATTTAGCATTAAATCTTCAGTTCGTGTTGCTCAAAATAATAATTATTGATCAGATATAGGTAGTTTAAGTTTATTGTTTTATTACATATTGAAATTTTTCTCAATATATTACAACATTATTTCTACCAAAAAATTAATTTGAATGATATGGCATCAAGGTAGTTATTGATTTATTCAATAAATATAAATATAAATATAGGTGATAAAATAATTTATTATTTTTTGTTAAAAACAGGACAGTACCTTTTCTTTTATAAAAAAAGGCAATCTTTGACGTCAAGGTCAAAACGATAGAAAATTAAAACATGTAATATTTCATTTTTCTTAGAATAGGGTAATTGAAAAAAATATAAAAAAATCCTGGTCCGTATTTAGAAAAATGAAGTTCATGATGATTGCCATGAAATGAAATGTCGGAATATAAAGTTGACCATGCCATCTTGTAGGGGAGAAAAAGTGACTGAAATTAACCCAAATTAACCATGTATTTCTCACCGTTTCCAACATCCCGATGATGTGGCTCGAATTTGAAACACCCTGTATGAGAAAACAGATTACAGTTTGACGCACAAAAATTTGTTCAGATAAAGCATGATAAACGAATGGTTTAACTGAACAATCTTTCGTGCGTCAAACTATATCTATGTGATATAAATTGTTGTTAGGTTCAGACCAGCCTTTTTTTCTTATTCCTTAACCTACTAGTACACTCATTTAGCACATTCTTAGATCAAGTTGAAGGCAACCTCTGCAGAATATCTAGTAAATTCTGAACCAGAAAGCCGCCGTAGGGTAACCAGATCAAGTGAACCTACATTTTTTGGCCCGCCTCACCGGATCATTGTTTCAATTGCTTGACAACAAAATATTTAATTACCGGGTTTCAAGTCGCTCCGTACACAGTGCACAAAAAACAGGAGCGTTCTTCATTGAAGTAACAAGTTGTGTATGGTTCAAAAACTACAAATGATGTTTCGGATGTTCAAAGTTCCAGAACAAAAAGATGTTTCGATGTGCCCAGATTCGAGGTAACTTAGAATAAGGAGTTTTCCAATTTCAGTTCAATTCAGATCCTTCGTCATTTGAGTTAGTTGAGCGAACGAGTTCGGTTCGGTTCGGTCGGTTGACCGAGAATAAAGATAGCAATCTCTCTTTTTATCTATAACTAAGTGTTTTTCTAGATTTAAGCTGTTTTATAAGTTTTGTTAACTCACACTTGAAATAATAGCTAAAGCAATGGACTTCATTTTATTGCTGGATTTGCGCTTTGCGAGCTACATAAAAAGACGATAAGAATTCGATAGGGTAAAAATACAACTGTGAGTTCCTTGAGAGTACTTACCGAAGATGGCGTTTTCTTCCCTTATCCAGGGCCCTGGTAGCCACAAATCGTCAACATTCGTTTCCTTATATCTAGATGTTAATTCTATTGGTAGTTCTTGACACGAAAGTCACTTTTGACGGTAAAATAGACGGAAAATAGTTCTTGGTTTTTGGAAACGCGTGCGAAAGCCATTTATCTTGGGTCGCGAGTGGTCAAACTCGGTCTCCGCGTAGTAGTCGCGCAAGCGCGAAAAAGTACCCGCCGCTCAGATTCACAGTTGTGTATGTTTAATTTGAATTCTATGCCGCGAAACTTTAGCGGAGCTAACAAGTAGTTTCAAGTTTATCCATATCAAGTAGTATCAAGTTTATCGATAGGTACATTTACTGGTTTTCTTTTACCAGGTTATTTCTAGATGCATTACCTTATTACTTGATTTATGTGTGGTGGGTTAGTATCTATATAACTACCTAACTAGGTACCTAACTTTCATGTGCATGTGAAGGTTCTTGTTTTACACTTTTAATCAATACTAACATATTAATTTACCTACTCATGCCAGGTACCTAATTAGGTATATTTTATTCTGTTATTTTGTATTTCAGACCACATGGTTGATTTATCATTTAAAATGGTAAAACTGCAGGAACAGGTGAATCTTTTTAAGCTTTATTTCAATTGCCTCCGCAGAGGTCACGATGCAAGTGAGTGTAAATATGGGGCAGGTAAACATTGCAAAGAAAAGCACAAATTTGGGACGCAGGCATCAAATCTGCAAAATCAAATTTAATAGCGATTCTATTCTTCGATTTTTCGACACGTTTTACACGTTGATTTTCCTTTATAGGTATGTTTATTCTGATTTAGATTTGCAAGATTTTTGATTTGATTTTCTTTGTGTTTATTCTGATTTAGAGTAAGCTAGGTTAAGTTTGCAACATGTTTCAATTTGATTTCTTTAATGTGTTTTCACGGCTCGGGTCATGTTTCGAGTTCATTCAAAGTATATTATTTCCTTTCATTTAGTCAAGAAGCTTATACAAATACAGTAGCAACGTCAAATTTCCATACATTCTTGGGAGACCGTTAGACACGACGATTCTCGGATATGCGCAACCCTCAACGAAGTTTGGACTAGAGAGGAATCGGGAACTAGACTAAGGGCACAACCATCTTTACGTATACAGCAATGAAGAGAGTAGACGCGGCAACACTGGTTGGTGGTATGCAGTCTCCATAATGGTGTAACAGTGGTGTAACAGCTGATGAGTATTTAACCTCTAAAAGTGTTGTTTATAGCGTTTTAAAATAAGCTGAAAATATAATTAAATTATATATAGGTATTGTTGTTAGTGAATAACTAACTAGTTGGAACCATTCCCAGAGTGTTTTTGTTAATAAGCAGCTATACAATGTCAAGTTTTTCTCTTCTCTAAATAAGTGCCGGTGCCGGTTTGTGTGTTTGTAAATAATAATAGTTTCTGGACCTAAATTCGTTGTGTTTCAAAGCCTAAAGTGAACAGTTATCTTTTACTGGTACCCAGTGGCGTAGCCAGGATTTTGTCTTGGGGAGGGGGGGGGGCAAATGCCCACTTGCCCCCCCCCCCTGGTTACGCCAGTGCTGGTACCTACCCTCAAATTTTTGAATTTAATAATTTATTATGCCGAAAACGTGGTGTGTCCTGGAATGCAACTGATGCAAATCCAATTATGAGAATACCATAAAACAAGGTAAGAGAGCTGATTCTACCATTAAAATTCCAAATGATGGTGATTTAAGAGAAAAATGGTTAAAATTAATCCCTAGGGATAACTGGACACCATCAAAATATTCTGGTGTTTGTGCTTTACACTTTTCGGAAACAGCCATCATTCGCGAAGATGATTATCTTTCACTATAATAAGTATATTTCGTGTCTGTGCATCCGCTTGATCCATATGAGATTACCTTATGCATATTCACCCAAAACAGTGCGCCTCTGTCCTTTTCTTGCCAGCTCTACGCTACGTCCTACCTGTTCCTCCTAGCGGCGCGCGGCGCTCCCCTCTACTGCTATTCTTGTCGGCCGGCAAGCGTGTATACGATCTACTTCAGTACGCTTTGTTTATTCAACCAAAACGGTGCGCATATAATCCTATTTTCATTTTGCGCCTTTCAGTGTGTTTTTTCTTGCATTTGAGTGTGTGATTTATGCGGTATACAAGGTAGGGTATTTTTTATTTTAATATTTTGTTAAATGTACTGTACTTTTGAAAGGCAAAAGATATAATTTAAATTATGATAATTGTTGCTAGAATTTAAAGAGAAGACGCTTTTCGTGAGGCGACGTCTCGATTTTGTAGACGACGCTTCGATTTTCAGGCCGACGCCTCGATTTTGGAGACGACGCTTTGATACGACGCTTCGATTTTCAGGCCGTCGCCTCGATTTTGGAGACGACTCTTCGATTTTCAGGCCGACGCCTCGTTTTATCTGGGACGACGTATCGAATTTTGGGGCGACATCTCGATTTTTGAGGCGGCGTCGTCCTATTTGAGCCGTCCAAGCTAGATGCTTCACTGTTATTGTGCGGACGCTGCGCCAGCATATCGAGTTGAATTAGACGACGCCGTGTTGTAACCTTGGACGTTGTTTTTGTTACAATAAAAAGGTTAGGGTACGTCCTTGACTACCCAAATGTTATTTTAGAGGCTTCAAACAATTTGTCATCGACTATCGTTTGACTAGATATATGGCTGAGTATACGGCCAAATATATTCCAGCCAATTTAATAAAATTCTGGATAACGACCATCTCAAATAAGTAGCAATTTTGTTCCAGATGGCACTTTCATCTGACGTTGAAAAACTAGGAGATCTGGCAAGCATAGAAGGTAACGATACTCTGGCGAGATTAAAGAAACTGGCACTTACCTGTAGGTTGGCAAGAATGCCGATAGCCAAACAATTTGCAACAGGAGATCTTGGATTAGAAGCCCAAACAATGAACAAACTAAGGTTTGCTCTACTGGTATAGCAAGGGCATTCAATCCTGAATGTACAGCACTGTCCGAGAAAGCTTATCGAAGATATAAGGAAAATATGTTGAATTGGCCCTTCTGTCGAGGACTCGTCATCCTCTTGTTCAGTAGAAACCGAATCTAATGAGGAAGTGGAGTCCTTAGAATCGGAAATAGAAGAAAGTCAAAATAGAAAAGGTTATAAGAGAAAACTTGTGTAACCGGCGGATCAACCTTCGAAGAAGCGAAGATGGAAAGAAATAATTGAAGGACGACAGACTATGATGGAAAATATGTTAGAGAAACTCTTGGAGCATAGAACAATGTCACCAAAAACTAATGTGGATTGTTTTTCAGAGGAAGATAGTCATGACGACTCAGAGAGAGAAGCTTCACCCGGGCCATCGGTCAAATGA